ATATATATATATATATATATATATATATATATATATATATATATATATATATATATATATGAAAAATGATCTAGTAACGTGAGTGGCATGCGGCTACAAAATCTTACACAATTAGGATGGGTAAGCGACGAAAAGGTTAATATCGTTGGTCTACTGGAAAAGGAAAATTTGAGTAATTATATGGAGCGTACAGAATGGCTTCACCATCGTACAACAAAAATAAAATGGATGGACATAAGACGGGACAGGGATATGATTTTTGTGATTACCATGTCAATTCATCCTCTAGATCACTTTCTTAAATGAGTGAAAGATCCTGCATTCATGCCTACCGTCCAAATGACACACAAATTTCAGAGCTCATTCTCCTAAAACACTTTGAATTTGAAAAATAACCACGCAAACTTATTCGTTAACTCAATACATATGGTTAAAACGAAAGAAAATTTTACATTGTATGGTTTGTTAATTGTAGATCGCATGCCAGGATCAAGCCAGAGGTGAAACGGCTCGCGCTTAACCATGATAACCGTATGCAATTTGTTCCACGCCTCAGGAAACTTAATGTATACGAAGCTACTCTCGCATGACGCTCTTAAGATTCAGCCTCCTTCACCACTGAAAACTCGAGCCTACTGTTCCAGTTTTGAGGAACATTTCTAAAAGTTCCTTTAGAGCACTGAAACTTTTCAAATGAACAGCACATGCTCGTTGTCCCATTCAGCAAAATTAAGCTGTGCAATATTATCAGGAAAGTTCATAAAGGGATGTTCCACGTATGGAAGAACCTCTTCAAGGGAACTAAAGATGATCTTTACGGTTAACAGTACGAAAAGAGGTCATTTGCACGAACATCCTTACTGAGTAATGGAGAGGAGCAATCACAGTTGAGTGTGATACCCAGGAGGAGAAGTTGAGGTTTAGAGGGTTTCGTGTCCCACTTGGTGCTAACATGAGATTATTGACTCCACTTTACAGAACTTCGTCAAATTTGTTGCAAAATGACTTCAGCAGCCTTCTTCGTGTTTCTACATAAACAGGGTTTAACTGATATTATAGCGTTTCTGATAACTTTGGCATATTGCTCTTGCAAATAAGTACTATTAGTAAATCCTTGAGCTAATTTTATCGGCAAAGGCAGTTGATCCAATGATCATATAAAGTTGAGATAGGCCTATGCTACGAGCATACCGTCCTTAGGGGGCTAGCAAAGGGCTTTTATAGAAAATATAAAACCTAAAGAATTGGAATAAAAAACTTAAAACTACAAAAGGTTAATGAGCTCATGTGAACCTTCATTGATTAACATTGCTCTCCCCGTGGGATCACCTCCTCTATTCGGACTAATTTCAACAATATGACCTCTTCTCTCCGCAGCGATAACCTCTTTCCTTCCCGGTGGGATATCCATGCATACGGCCCAGAATTTTAACAGAAATAATTCGTTTTAGTCAGAGGGCCTATGCAGCGGCTTTTCATTTAACCGATAGAAACATTTACACTTTGAAGTATATTAGTTCACTTTTGTATGTTAGCGGCAACACAGAACGTACCAATTCGAAATGTTTTTAAATGCATAAAATTTCGAACTCATTTTGTAGCAAACTTCAATACATTTTTTCCAACAAGGAATGAATGTTGCTATCATCTTCAGCTTTCTCCTTAGACACAAGCATCTGCCGATTATCAGATGTCGATTCTTTACTATCCAAGACTTCCTGTAAACTTATTTCCAAACCTTCTTTTACTTGACTTCCCAAAACTTCCTGTGAACTTATTTCCAACCCTCCTTTTTCTTTACCAACTCCCACGGAACTTATTTGCAAGCCTCCTTTTTCTTTACTATCCAAAGCTTCCTGTGAAGTTATTTCCAAGCCTCCTTTTTTTTTACTACCCAAAACTTCCTGTGAACTTATTTGCAAGCCTCCTTTTCCTTCAGAAGATTCGCGCGAAAGAGACTCCTTCGTTATCTCTTCCTGAGTACGATCCGGCTCCATCGAGACACTTTTATAGGCTGGAGTGGGTTTGAGAATTTTTTCGTCGAGAATCATTCTTGGTGTTAATACATTCTTATGTAGGGTTGGACGAGGGCGCTTTATCTTCTCTTCCATTTGTTTGCTCTTCCGTTTTCCAGATTTCGGTAGAGAGTGACTTCCCAAAAACGCTTGATAATGGTGAGTTGAATTAGTAGCAGTAGAGTCATCAGAAAGGAGATTATGAAGAGGTAAAGTGTGGTTTGCTTCCTGAAAAATGAGAATTGGAATCCTTAACATGTATGGAATGGAACATGACTGGAAGAACAAATTTTTAGTTACTTTTGGTTAAATATGCTGTATAAACAATTAAAGGAC